AGCTGATGAGGTGAAAACCTAGAGCTGGGGAAGCACCTTCCCATCTAATAGGGTAGCTGCAGAGGACAGACTGACAGACAGCAACAGTGGGGAGTGTGTGTCCCAGGCCCTGCGTCTGGTCAACACCTGTCAAAAAATGCCCCAGAGGTGGTCCTCAGCGTACACAGACGTTCAATCTGCTGACAAGGGCCACTGGGGGCTACTCAGTGCAGGGGTTTATGAGTCCAGGGTGCAGGGCCTCTTCCTGCCTTTTTGTACTGAGAGGAGGCGGCCCTGCAGCGCTGTGGTCACCTTCACTGCTGGCACAGAAGTACACAGATGTCTGTGAAGGGGTCGCCGATTTCAGTGTGAGGACAAAGTTCTCTTTATTTTGTCTAAGGACACTGTACCCATTGGCACCATCTCCTTTGGCGGTGATCCCAGCACTGACTGAGTAATAGATCAGCGTCAGCTCATGTCCCATGTCTTGGCGATACCAGTACATAATGCCGTGGTTATTAGTCTGATGACAACTCAGTGTCACATTCTTTTCTGTTCCCGCAACCTTGTATCTTGGGCTCTGGGTGATTTCGGCATCCAGGTTTCCTGTAAAGAAAGCCACATACCTGATGTTGTCATCCTAAGATGAAGGCTTGGGCTGAGGTCTTGGGAATCCAGGGCAGGAAGCCCCCCTGTACTCACCTGCCCACAGGAGACAAAGAGCCACCCAGAAGAAGAGCCTGCTGACCATTTCAGGTCCAGGGCAGAATCTCATGTCTTCCTGTTCTGTTTTGAGAAAAATAGACTCAATGATGTCACTGTCCTTGACAAATGCTTGAGCTGTAGAGCTAACCTGCCACACCCCTTCCCCACTGGAACAAATCAGTGATCCTCTCAGTTACCAGGAACCACCTGATGTCCAGGAAGTTTTTAAAACCCCAAGGTCAGGATCATTGGAATCTGAAGACTTGTTTTATGTTGTCTCATAATTCACTGACTGAGGGGAGCCTTGCCATCTGTGCTCAGGTCTCTACATGCTCATATGTAAGAGTTCTCCCTTGATTTCATCTGAAGGCAAAGAAGACTGTTTTACCTATGACCCTGTGACTGTGCTTTTTTTTACAAAAAGAGGAGGCTGGTTACAATATGGATGAGCTATTCAGCCAGAGCTACACACTTCTTACGTCTCCAGGAAGGTCTTGCACCCACCAAACGGGAGAATATTGATTGAATCATAAATGTAATACAGTGCCAAGCTTGCAGCTAGTCAATATCAGTACATGCTGTGATTTCTTATACAGGTTATGCCTCAGTCTGAGGTGACCCCTTTTCTGTGACTACATATCTTGATGTCATCGCAATGGGCAACTATAATGACACAACAGTGACAAAGGACATGAAGTCAGAAATCAGAGGTGAGGAGGAGGTAAATGGTCATCACATGGAAAGACTTGCAGCTTGATGCCTGGTAAACCCAGGAAGGGCTATTACATCTTATCCAGGACTTAACTGTTCCCAGGGCACCAAGAGCCACACAGCAAAGGAGCCTACATTCTAGGCTGGGTCAATGCGAAAAAGAGGAGTTTCTCAGCTAGGACTCACATTGTTTGGGTTAAAGTGCATGGAATCCCAGAGATCTGTGGACTGTTCTCACAAGAAGGTATCATCTTCCCATATTGTTAGTATTCTCAATAATACCCTAATTTCTTTAGGGAGACAAACATTTACCAGGAATAATTCCTTTGCAATTCTCATTTAAATTAGTCAATTAGAGTCACAAATTCTATGTTGATTTAAAAATGTATGTCATAAGAAATTTTTTGTCTTGTCCTTGTGTTTTTGCACTGATTTTTCCCAAACTCCTGGATAGTGCCTGTACATGGTAAGTAGTGAAGGCTGGATGGGCCATGCAGGCAATGAAGAATAATTTCAGGCCTTCTCCTTCTCACAGGACCTTTCCAAGACTTCTGAATCTTTTCTTCTTTCCTTTTTAGTAGAGCACCCTAAAATTACATAAGCATATATCCCCACCAAGCCCAAACTACTCTTCACCTGATTCAAGTAGTGTTTGTTGAGTGAAAGAAATGAAAGATGCCTAACTGGTTTAGCTCAGTGGATAGAGCGTCAGCCTGCGGATTGAAGGGTCCCAGGTTCGATTCCAGTCAAGGGCATGTACCTTAGTTGTGGGCACATCCCCAGTGAGGGGTGTGCAGGAGGCAGCTGATTGATGTTTCTCTCTCATCGATGTTTCTAACTCTCTAACCTTCTTCCTTCCTCTCTGTAAAAAATCAATAAAATATATTTAAAAAAAAAGAAAGAAATGAAAGATTATCAGAGAGCAGGCAGACTCCACTTCTATAAAGATAACCAAGTCTGGTCAGTCACAAAGAGGTTCAGAGCTTGAAGGGAGCAGAGACCCTTGTGAATCTGTTGAGAATTAAAAATAAGCTACAGTAAACTTAGGAAAATCATTTATATCTGTTATTATAAGACTTTTTGAATGATAGGATGGCAAAATGAATTAAACAAAAATAGCCGTGTCTTCCAAAGGGGTGGGTCCTTTGATGGTCACTTCCTTCCATCACTGTCACCATATAGGCTGCCCCTGGAGGCAGAGTGCGAGACACAGACATAGATACAAGTAGTTTATTTGGGAAGTCATCTCAGGAAGCAGGAAAAAGAGAGCAGGGAGGGAGGAACCAGGAAGGAAAAAGCCTAGATAAGGTGCAATACTACAGTTGTGCAGGGACATCGGGAGATGGATTTATGGATTTTGTTGGAATCTGCAGAGAAGCACACAGACCATCTCCTTAGCTGGCCTCTTGGATGCAGAGGCTGAGCTTTTATCGCTGGCTCCTTTCCTTCCAGGAGCATTAGCACTCTGCAGCTCTGGCTGCCCTGGGGTGCAGGCCATGTGGGCTCCCATGATAGAGAGGAGGCCAGAGCAGAAAGCTGAGGGACACCCAGCCTGCAGGTGATGGGGTGCTGTCAGAACCAGGTAATGCACACAAACTTGTATGTAATTCTCCACTGCAGCTGAGGCTGATACCAGAGGTGGGCCGGGGATGGATGAGGGCACTAGAGGCTCCACTATGATGGTCTCTCTTCACACAAAACTGTCCCTTCCATCAAATCGTCTGTGTGATCACCAGTCACTCTGAAGCCACAACTTTCTGGAAGCACCACACCTTCTTGTACATCAGACTTAACATAAAACAGGAAATGCTGTCCTGGGTCATCTTTTCATTTTCCCTTAAGAGCACCTCTCAGTAGTTCATTTCACCCAATAAATTATAAGATAGCAATATTTGCATTTCAAAGAAGTTTCTGTCTGAGCCATAGATGAGTCAGGCAAAAGTAACCATGCCTGCCTTTCATCCCAGAGCTGCACATAGTAAATAATTGTGCTACACTAGCGATTTGTCACAGAGTTTATACAGAACAAAGATGACTTGAGCCTATATTTTTACTAAGCAATTTTTCATATTTGCTTGTTTTAAATCACTACAAAACACCCCTTATTGCCCCCAGGTTACAAATGCAAAACTTGGACAAATAGTTTCTGAGTCACCATCCCAAGGCAGGTCAGAATATGAACAGACAGGTCCAGGAAGCTGGATCTCTTTCCTCTCCAGCAGGTCCCCTCCCAAGTGAAAGCTGTTATGCAAATGATTTATGTTACAGCCTGCATTTCTAAAAGGGACCTTTGGGTCCATGATCCCGTTTTGAAGATGCCTCTCTCTACCACATGCAGAAGGGTGGGGTGATTTAAAGCATGGGTGGAAGTCAGTATCGTCCATGTCTGTGTCCCAATTCTGGTATTTGTTAGCTGTACCTCCTTTAGCCAAGTATCCAAACTCTCTAACAATCAGTGTTTTCACTTGTAATGTGGGTAATTTATGCTACCTCACAGAAAATGTGCAATAAATAAAATGATTGAATTAAATACACAAAATGTGTGGAATTAAAGTCATCTGCATTCACCAATCAACTCATACCCTAATCTGTAAATGTCTGTATTATTCATTTAATAGCTATGATGCTCAGCTGTTTTCTGCAGTCCCTGACCTGGGCAGAAGAAGCAATTTCAGATGTTCTAATAGAAAGTGGGGGCAAGCTGAGACCCTCACTCCTCCACACTTTCCAGGTTTAGAAAAACTGATTCACTGTAGTAACTCCTAGAATCCTGCCTGAAATTCCTAGAGGGCTTCTGTTTTCTGGGTGAATCTTCTGTTAGTCTGGAAATCCCCTAGTCCAGTGGTTGGCAAACTGCGGCTCGTGAGCCACATGCTGCTCTTTGGCCCGTTAAGTGTGGCCACGAAGTTTCAATCGCACTGTACATGCGCGCCCGCACGTGGCATTTTGTGAAAGAGCCACACTCAAGGGGCCGCAGTTTGCCGACCACTGCCCTAGTCCCTTAGCTCTTCTATTAGGGGACATCATGTCCTCCCTCTATATAAACTAGGACAGGATAGAGGCACGTTCTGTGATGTGAAGCTCTGTGTCTTAGAAGTTGGCAGGCAATCAGCTGTGTAGCCCCAGATGAGGTGTGACCACCCCCACACCCCCCATCCCAGCTCAAATGCTCTTGAAATGGGAGAGCCAGAGCTCTGTTATATCTTATGGACCAGGCCAAGGCAGCACCATGGAATTCTGGGCAATGTTGACTTTGAAGGCCTGGAGATGTAGGGTTAACATATGTGAAATATTTGAGATGTCCAAGGGCTGAAACTTCCTGCCTATAAAATGGTATAATGAGCGCTTCCTCCTCTGTAAAGTGGAACACAATGTCGACTGTGAATTAGCACGCACAACATGGACCCCACTCTATCACAGCAGGAGTTCCTGCCATGTGCTAGGAATTGCCAGGTGCTGGCAGAGCTGGAAGGACACTCAGGAAAGCTCAGGCTGGGCAGGGAGGATGTTGCAAAAGAAGTTAGCCCTATACTGGCAACTTGCTAAGGTCCCCTCCCTCTCCTGTGACATCCTCAGCTGGGGCAGGGAGGTTTGAGTACAGAAAGTCATTGACCCTGCAGGGCTGTGTCTAAGCTGCTGGCACAGAGATACACGGCTGAGTCTCCCAGCTGCAAGGCGCTCATGGCCAGCTCAGAGCTGTAGTTATTGAACTGTTTTCCTGAGAACCGATCTGGGATGTTTCCTTTCTGTCCCTCCTGCTTTTCATAAAAACTAATGAGGAACTGGGGGCCGTGTCCCAGAGCCTGCTGGTACCAGTACACCGTATTATGTCCGGAGATGGGATGACACTTCAGAACAGCCTTCCCCCCTTGGACTTTGATTAGGTGTCTTGGGAACTGGGTGACTCCAGCAGCCACAGAACCTGTGGAGGAAGGAGAAAGAAGCTGTAGACCAGCACAGGAAGGAGATGGACAGGCCAACAATAATCAAGAACTTTGGGTTCAAGGGATGTCCCATCTGAAGTCAGGACTCACCTGCCCCCAGAAGGCAGAGGGCCACACAGCAGAGGAGCCAATTGCCACTGGAAGATTCAGGCAGGACAAGACTGGCCATCTCCCACATCTGGGCTCTGGTGTTTGGGGTGAGAAAGCAGAGGCTTTGAGTATTACTTTGCTCTGGGTGGAGGGCTTGTCTGTGATGTCACTGTTCTGATGTCGTTGTCCTTGTAGGCTCCCACACACAACCTGTACTTCCTGGACAGGCTCAGTTGGAAAGAGCCACACGTGGGCAAACTACGGCCCGCGGGCCGGATCCTGCCCGTTTGAAATGAATAAAACTAAAAAAAAAAAAAAGACCGTACCCTTTTATGTAATGATGTTTACTTTGAATTTATATTAGTTCACACAAACACTCCATCCATGCTTTTGTTCCGGCCCTCCGGACCAGTTTAAGAACCCATTGTGGCCCTCGAGTCAAAAAGTTTGCCCACCCCTGATCTAGAGTCTAGAGACACTCTGTCCATCTTCCTATGAGCAAGTGCTGCTGGATATGCCCAGCTGGGCCAGGCAGGGTTTGTGGCAGATGATCATCCTCACAGCATCTCTGTTTCCTAGGAGCAGGTACACCTGGCTTGAATTATCCAAGCTTCAGGCTGAAGGAAGTCCCATCACACTCTCCACCAAACATATGCTCCAAAAGAGAGCTTAATTCCAGGCAAGGCCAAGCTCATGGCTTCCTGCTGTGACAACACACCTGCATATCAGTTAATGTGAGAAGATATGATCAGCAAACCTCTGATTCATCAGATAGTCTCCCTGATGTAGGGACCAAGCCAAGACTCTCTCCCTTAACCCTCTGTCTCCCACAGGGCGCCATCAGCAGCTTATTCTGTGGATCCACAGCGCCCTCAAGTGGCCGCTTGTGTAGTAGCAGTGTTGATACTTCCCAGGTTGAGTGGGTTCTGTCTGAATTAGGAGTCAGGACCAGCCAGGACACTGTAAGCACCTGCTGATGTGATGTTTACCTGTCTCAGCTCAGCCTTAGCAGGTGGTAGTGAGGGAGGCATGGTGCATATTTTCTAAGAAGGAAATATAAATTCTAAATCTCATCAATGACTGTTCTGGGAAAGAGGACACCATGCATGCAGCTGCCCTGGGAAGGGGTGGAGGGACCTTGGCTGAAGCGTTCTCTTTAACCAAAGATAATTCCTGGGGAGGGCTGACCTTAGGGTTTTACTAGCCAAAAAAAGAATTTGAGCAGCTGGAAATATACCCTCTATGAAGAGGGAACCATCTACTTATAGATCTTGGGTGTTTTTTTTTGTTTTGTTTTGTTTTGTTTTGTTTTCCACTCTGTTTAACTCTTCTGTTCTTTTTTAAAAATCGAATAACTTACCTTTTAAGTTATTGATTTGTAGGAATTATTTATATTTTGGATACATGCCCTTTCTTAATATCTTTTTTTTTATAGTCAGGTCTTTATTTAAGAATCTCATCTGCCAACTTAGCGTTTTCCACCAACACGGGGACTGCAAGCTCCTGCTGATGTGATGTTTACCTGTCTCAGCCCACCCTTTGCAGGTGGCACTGAGGGAGGCATGGTGCATTTTTCTAAGAAGGAAACACAAATTCTAAATCTCATCAATGAGTGTTCTGGGAAAGAGGACACCATGCATGCTGCTGCCCTGGGAAGGGGAGGAGGGACCTTGGGCAAAGTACTCTCTTTAACCAAAGTTAATTCCTGGGGAGGGCTGACCTTGGCCTTCTATCAGTCAAAAAATCTAAGCAGCTGGAAATAGACCATCTATGAAAAGGGAGCTGCCTAATTATAGATTTTTTTTACCAGTCATTTTAATTCTTTTGCTTTTTTAAATAATTGAATTATTTACTTTTAAATTATTGATTTGTAGGAAATATTTATATTTTGAATACATTACCAGCAAAAAAATATATTCATAGATATTTATTTTTCTTAATATATTTTGTTGAACAGGATTTTAAAACTTTTAATAAAGAAACATATACTTTTTAAAGATCAGAGTATTTTCTTGTCCTCTCAAAGACATTTTGCCTACTCCAAGGTCATGAAAAGAATTAGTTCAGCTTTTTCTCAGAAGCTTTATTGAGAAAGTTGACCCATCTTATATTCATTTTTGTTTATGGAACTATCAGCAAACTTGTTCTGGAAAGGGTCAGATGGTAAAGATTTCAGTTTTCTGTCCCAGCTCCCCACCTCTGCCCCTGCAGTGCCAAAGAGTCAGAGACACCACACAAGTGAGTGAGCATGGCTGTGCTCCAATAAACTTGGTGTATGGATACTGAAATCTGAATTTCATATAATTTTCCTATGTCACAAACATTGTTGATTAGCTTCTGGGCCTTATAAGAACAAGCAGAGGCCAGATTTTGCCCACTCCTGGTTTATGGAATGAGATAAGGATTGAGATTTATTGTTATTATGCACACAGTTTTTCCAGCACCATTGTTGAAATGATTATTTCCCCCCCTTTTGCAGTACTTTTAGTGTTTGATCTAGAAATCACAACATGCATCTTTACCTTACCTGCAAAAATGTCTATTAACCATAGATTTTTTTCGTAAATGCCCTTGATTAGGGGAAGGATGTTTCCAATTACTTTTTATTTACTAAGAGTTTGTATCTGGAACAAATGTTGGATTGTATAAAGTATTTTTTTGAGCATCTATAGAGATGATCTTATGATTTTTCTTTTTTTAGTATTTGAGAGGTTAAACTGCATTTCATATTTTTGAATGTTAGTCTGTACATTTCTGAGATAAACCCATCTTGGTGATGATGTATTATCCTCTATAGATGTTGTTCTATTTGATTTGGAATTCTAAAAGATTTATTAATCTGTCCTTGAGGGATGGTGATCTATCGTTTTGTTTGGTGATTTTGTGTGTGTGTGTGTGTGGTAATATCTTGATTTCATTTGAGTAGCATAGTAGTGCTGGCCTCAGTGTGAGTAGGGAATTATTCCCTATTTTCCAGATTTCCTATTAAGTACAATCAATTTTAATATGATATATTTTCATTTAATTAAAATCCCTTTATAATTTCCCTTTTGATTTCTTCTTTGCCCCATGGGTTATTTAGAAGATTGTTGTTTCATTTACAAATATTTGGAAGTTTTACAGTACTCTTTCTGTTATTGATATCTAATTCAGTTCCTCTGTGGTGAAAGAACATGCTTTTGAATTATTTTAAATGTGTTGGTACTTATTTTATACCCAAAGTCTACAGTATCCTGGCCATCGTCTGTGTGCACTCGATAAGAATGTGTATTCTGCTGCTGTTGGGTGATCTGTTCTATAAATGTGAGTTGGGCCGAGGTGATCAATAATGTTATTGATGTCTTTTGTTTCCTCACTAATTTTATTGGGGGGGTGGTGGTGTCAAGTTGTTCAACCAATTACTGACAGGTGTTGAAATGTCTGATTATAATTGTGAATTTGTCTATTTCTCCTTGCTGTTTTTGTTCAGGGTTTTAAACTCTCCTTTTAGATGTATAAATATTTATGGTTGCTATGTTTTCTTGATCAATTTGTCCTTTTAGCATTAGAATATGAGGTTTTTTATCCCAGACTATATTCTTTGCTCTGAAATTGATTTTGTCTGATGTTATTATTGCTGCTCCAGCTTTCCTGTGATTAGTGTTAGTATGGTATATCTTGTCCATTCTTTTACTTTTACCTTCTGAGTCTTTATGTTCATAGTACATTTCTGGTGGGCAGCATACAGTTGTTGATTTTTCATTTTTACTCAAAATCACAATCTGTGCTTTTTATTTGGGGCATTGAGACTACTTTGATTTGATACGACTATTGATCTAGTTTGTTAGTATCTGTCATAAACTTGCTATTTGTTGTATTAGCCCCATCTTTTGTTTGCCCCTCTTTACTTCTTTTTATGTCCTCTTGGGTATTAATTATTTTAATGATTCCATTATCTCTATTTTTGTTGACTTAGTAGTTATAATTCTGTGTTTGATATTTTAGTTGGTGGCTCTAGCATTTGCAATTTACATCTTTGCCTTAACACAGTCTACCTTGAAGTGGTATTATACCACCAGACATAGATTAGGAAAACCTCACAATGGTAAGATAATTTATCTGCTCTCTGTCTTTCTCTTGTTGTCATACATTTTACTTTTATGTGCTATAGCGCCCCTCCCCCTCCTTATCTGCAGTTTCGCTTTCCACAGTTTTAGTTTCCAGCTGTCAAGCACCATTCAGAATTATTAAATGGTCAATTCCAGAAATAAACAATTCCCAAGTTTTTACTTGAGCACCATTTTGAATACCTGATGACATATTGTGCCATCTGGTCTGTCCCATGCAGGACACGAACCATCCCTTTGTCCAGCACAACAATCCTGTGTACACAACCCACCATTAGTCACTTAGTAGCTGTCTCGGTTGGTTATCACATTGACTGTAGTAGCATCACAGTGCTTGTATACTAGTCACCCTTATTTCACCTAATAGTGGCCCCAAAGCGCAAGGGTAAACAGTATATATAGGGTTTGGTACTATCAGTGGTTTCAGGCATCCATTGGGGTTTTTAGAAAGTATCCCCCAAAGATAAAGGGGGGCAGTATAACTGTTTTTCAGGTCTTCTTTGAATCACTTTTCTTTAACATTGTCTCAAGTAGGGTGTTTAATAAACCAAGCTAAATTTAAATTTCTATTCAAAATAGATTTGAGAAGACAGCTGATTGTCAAGAAAAACAATAAAACAATATATAGACATACATTAACATGCATTATTGTGGCTGACAGGTGCTCC